GAGCAGCCTGTCTAAGGCTGATTGAAAGCATTCTATCTGAGGCATACTCACACCCAGTGGGTCAGAGGGAAATTATATCTATCCCTAGGAAAGGTCACCCTTGTGTGACTGAGAACTATAGCGAAATCTCACTAATTTCAGTGGTTTATAAAGTGGTGCTTTGTGTAGTCATGGCATAAATATTGGATGCACTGGAGATGTAATCAGGAAGGAACAAGCTGGATTCTGTTTTCATGAGGAGTGTGTGGGTCAAGCTGTGGCTGTATATGAGATAGGAGAATATTGTTAGACTTAGTGCTTCATTAAATCCTCATGAAGATACCAGATGCACAAGGCCTTGAACTTTATCCAGGAATAATATTAGAGCTCCAAGATCTGTTCAAGGGTTGATGAAACTCACTGATGCACCTTGTAAGGGGTAAGGTGAAGTTGTCCACTTGTTCAATGTTTTCAGCAATGATGTATCGGATGGAATCAAGAGAGATAAACTTGGCATTTCTGTTCCAGGCATTTGTGATAGAACAGTGACATTTTGGTTGCTGTTAATGTTATGCTGTGGGTGGACTCACTTGGGGATCTTGTGCATTACACTCATCATGTTGACGATTCAGTGCCCCTCTCCCTCCCTTAAGTGCAGTGTTATGGCTCTCCAGGGTTCTTGACGGTGTCAAGTGAATTCTATCCAAGATGTGTATTCCAGCCTTGAAGGTATAGCTTGACGGTATGTATACAAGGAACATCAGTCCCAATTATTGCGTTGTAGAAATATCTCGGAGTTGTGTTGGATACCAACATTTGCTTGAATGTTGTCCTTTGAGACCACCCTAAGAAGAAGCAAAAAGGCACTATTGGCTTTCTCATCTGTTTTCAAGGACAAGAAGGTCCCAATGCAGTTTAAACTTGTGTCTTATAAGTTGTGGTGATAAAATAGTTCTCCCTCATGGTTTCAAGCTCCTGGGTATGCAGCAGAGGGGTTTCCTTCAGCTCATTTATGAAGTCCAAGACTAAGCAGTGAGGTGGATTTGTAATTAAAAGGGGAATGTGGCTGGAGGTAGTGAGATTTCTGACCTACACTGATTTTACTCAACAGAATGGACACAGAGGTTGCTTCAGGCCAAGTATATCTCTTTGCCAAGACCACTTATCTAAGACCAACCTCTGGATACAACTTATAGCTTGAACTTGTATAGTGCCTTTAACAGAGAATGAGCACTCAAAGCATTTGATAGCTATGTTAAGGAGCAGGGGAAAGGGAGATACTGTTGAAGGAATGTTGACCAAAGGCATGGTTGAAAAGCTTTAAATTTAAGAAGGTTTTGAGAATAAGCACAAACCTATAACCTGGATATTTCATTATAAGTCTGGAGGTGGGGAAGCTGAAAATATATGGCCGGATGGGTTCTTTTGAGGCTGCTGTTTACTTGGGCGTAGCAGGGAGGCACTTTATACCTCATCTGTGATACATTTGACCTGGAACTGGCTAATGTTGTTACTGATTGTAAGGAATGCGTTCACCCTTCCCAACTCCCAGTGTTGGTAGCAACTTTTTTTTTTGTCAGCCGGGTGCCTGACACATGCGGAAACCATTCGGTCACCATGCTTAAGAGTATCCAAACCAAGCTGAGAATTCCATGCATCCAAAAATACCAGAGATAGATTGTTGGTAGCAAGTAAAAGATGGAAGTCAGTGTCATGAGAACAGTAGGTTAGAGCTCCACACAATGCAGGCAGTGTGGGAGCTTAGACGGTAAGATGCCACTGCCCCCTCTCTCTCCTCATCGACAAGACAAACTCTATAGCAGATGCTGTCACAATACCCACTCAATTGACAAAGAAAAAGCTATAATGGATTACCATTGCTGTTCACAATTTACACTAGTAACTTCTCCCAAGCGTGGGAAAATTGTTGGGAGTGTTCGTCTTGTTTCTGTCATGCACTAGCTAAATTCAGGATGAACTCAACCCCCGTGTGGAAAACTGTTTGAGTAACACCAATGGAATGTTGTACGGAAAATTCCTTACTTTTACCTCATTTGCCCACGCAGTGAGTGACTGAAACTATTTGTGATTTTTTTTTAAAAGAAGGTTCGAGAAAGAGCATTTTTTTTTGAGGATTGCAAGCTTCCTCGGAAATTTTTAACCTCTGCATTGGCATTTAGACCCACTCTATCTTAAACCTAATCCTTTATTTCAGTTTGCTGTGCTTTAGGAGATGACTGTTCTCCCTCTAAAGGAGAAACAGAAACTTGATTTTGTTTTGAAAAGTAAAAGAAATCCAATCTTAGAAAATCTATAGTTCTTAGTAAAAGTATATTTACAGATATATACCTCATATACCATAGATACCTCATATACCATATATGTACCTCATATACCAACCGACTCAAATGATTCTCAGGAATATGGTTGTTTTACACTATTTTACACTAAATATGTATATTCACCCTCGAAGTATATTCTGTGAAAGGCTCTGCAACGTCTCAAAGACGTGATAAGGCGTTAGATCAAAAGAATTACTATATGCAATATATTTATTTTTAAACGATCATCGGGGAAATACTTTTTTCATCCATTTATTGCATTTTTTCAAACATGTCCCCCCCCCCCCACCCCATCTGATGTGCAAGCGTGGATTCAGTTGTTCTCTTCTTTTCGTGGTGGTACTTGCCTGTGCAAGTATACCTGACACTGCAACCATCGCGACCCGCCCGCTGCCAGGTTCCCCCAAGTTAGGGACGGAGACAACACACAGAGAGGGGGAGAGGCAGAGGGAGACAGGGGGAAGACACACAGAGAGAGGGAGAGACACACAGAGAGAGAGAGAGAGAGAGGGGAAGACACAGAGAGAGAGAGAGAGAGAGAGGGAGACACAGAGAGAGAGAGGGAGACACACGGAGAGAGGGAGACACACGGAGAGAGGGAAACACACGGAGAGAGGGAGACACACAGAGAGGGAGACACAGAGATAGACAGAGACACAGAGAGAGGGAGACACACAGAGAGAGGGAGACACACAGAGAGAGGGAGACACACGGAGAGAGGGAAACACACGGAGAGAGGGAGACACACGGAGAGAGGGAGACACAGAGATAGACAGAGACACACAGAGAGAGGGAGACACACACAGAGAGAGACACAGAGAGAGGGAGACACACACAGAGAGAGAGAGACAGACACACACACACACACAGAGAGAGAGAGAGACAGACACACACACACACACACACACACACACAGAGGGGGAGACAGAGACACACACAGAGGGGGAGACAGAGACACACACAGAGGGGAGGGGGCACTCTGTTGCCGCTGAGCTGTGAGGAGTGCAGTGACCCACAGCTCTCGGAACGCTCACAACAATGCGAGGAATGCGCGCCGCCGCCGCCGCTCGCGGCACTCGGAGCCCCGAGTATATGCCATATTGGGAGCGGAGGAAGCGGGCGCTCCGCGGGGGCCCTCGTCACAACGGGGGGGGGTGGGCAGGAGCGGTCAGGGGCGGGGCCCCCGCCGGCCGCTCGTCACAACGGGGCGGGGCCTTGCGGCCGCTACGTCACGATGGAGGCGGGAGATCGACTACCTGACCGCCCGCGCGTACGTACACAGCAGCAGTCGGCGTACGTGCTGTTCGTGAGGGCGCGCCCGTCCGTGCGCGGCGTGCGTGCGTGGGCGAGCGGTCGCGCGCGCGCGCGCGCGCACGCACGGGGGTGGAGGGAGGGAGGGAGGTTGCGCCGGCGGTGCTGGTGTGGTTGTCGCTGCCTCTCACTATCTCTCTCAGTCCCAGTCAGTCAGTCAGTGCGAGAGGTGTGCGATAAACCACAGACAGCACAGAGCTGCGTGACAGACAGACACAGACAGACAGAGACACACAGACCAACTCAACTCAACCTCCAGGAAATTCAACTCGTTTCTTCTTGTTTTGTTCACATATCGATATATCTATACATAAAATTTATACCAATTTTTTTTCTTTGATTTTTTGTGGTGTGCTCTCTCGCTTTCTCAGCGAATCGTTTGGCGAAGCAGCAGAAAAATCGGATTTTTTTTAAAAAAAAATCATTCTTGGTGTGCGGGAGGGACACAGAGAGAGAGAGAGAGAGACAGAGAAAAACAACCCAAATTGGTGGAAGAAACTCGGTTTCGCAGTTTGCTTTTTGTGGATTTTTTTTTGGAGGGGAAAAGGATATACTGTGTGTGTGTGTATATAAGATATATATATATATACACAGTGAGAGAGAGAGAGGAAGATCGGATTGTGGGAGAGAAAGACACAGAGAGAGAGAGAGAGAAAGAAAGAGAAGGGGAGAAGGAAAACAACATCTTCGAGACCGGAATTCAACTTTGTTGGAAGTCGACAAAAGCAAAGAGAGGGGAAACTTTTGGATGGTTGTTGTTGCCTGCGGTGCGGTGCGGTGCTGAGCTGAGCCGAGCCGTGCGGGGAGAGAGAGAGAGAGAGAGGTGCTGTGCGGTGCTGTGCGGTGTTGTGTTGGGAGGCACTTCACTGGCAGCGTTTGGCAGTGCGGAGAGAGGAGTCCGCGGTGTCCTATCTCGGCATCACGAGAAGAGTTCGTGAAACTTTCGCCGCTCGGTGTTAATTTTTTTCTCTCCCGCCGCCCCCCCTCCACCACCGTTTGTTTCTCTCTCTCTCCCTCCCTCCCTCCCTCTCTCTCTCTCTCCCTGTGTTTAGTTTGGTCGGTTTCCCAAACAGAAAGAAAAAAAATAATAATTTTGTTTGAGGAGAGCGGGAGGGAGGAGGGGGAGAGGGAGAGAAAAAGAAAAAAAAAAGTTTTTTCTCTTTGCTTTTTTTTTCCCCCCCCACCACCCCCACACCCACACACACGCCGCCACTTTCTTTTTTTAAAAAAAAACAACCCCACTTGTCCTTTTTTTGTGTGTGTGTGTGTGTGTCTCTCTGTGTGTGTGTGTGTGGTGGCGTTTGGGACTCCCCGAGAGAGGGAGAAGAAGAGAGAAGAGAAGAGGAGAGAGAGAGACGAGAGACGGACGAGAGAGAGAGAGAGAGGAGAAAAAAAAATGGCTCCTCGCGGGATGTCGTTGGCTGTAAAGTTCTTCACAGTCTTGCACTTTATTAATTTATTGGCACAAAGTGGTCGGGCTCTGGTGTGTCTGCCGTGCGATGAATCCAAATGCGAGGAGCCCAAGAACTGTCCCGCCAGCATCGCCATGGGCTTCTGCGGCTGCTGCTCGACCTGCGCCAAGCAGCGGAACGAGACCTGCGGCGGCGTGTACGGGCTGTACGGCACTTGCGACCGCGGCCTCCGGTGTGTGATCCGACCTCCCTTCAATGGCGATTCCATCACGGGATACGAAGTGGGCATCTGCGAAGGTGAGCGAGGGAGGGGAGCGAGGGGAGGGAGGGGAGGGGGAGGCAGCGCCGCTGCCGCCGCCGCCGCGCTCGACGTGGCTGTGGCGCGGTTTGCACGCACACGGTAACTTTACCCCTCACACACACACCACACCAGCCTCTCCCCCCCCCAACACCAGACCCCCCCCAACACCAGACCCCCCAACACCAGCCTCTCCCCCCCCCCAACACCAGACCCCCCCAACACCAGACCCCCCCAACACCAGACCCCCCCCCCCAACACCAGCCTCTCCCCCCCCCAACACCAGACCCCCCCCCAACACCAGACCCCCCAACACCAGCCTCTCCCCCCCCCCAACACCAGACCCCCCCAACACCAGACCCCCCCCAACACCAGCCTCTCCCCCCCCCCAACACCAGCCTCTCCCCCCCCAACACCAGACCCCCCAACACCAGCCTCCCCCCCAACACCAGCCTCTCCCCCCCCAACACCAGACCCCCCCAACACCAGCCTCCCCCCAACACCAGCCTCCCCCCCCCCCAACACCAGCCTCTCCCCAACACCAGCCTCTCCCCAACACCAGCCTCTCCCCCCCCCCCCCCCCCAACACCAGCCTCCCCCCCAACACCAGCCTCTCCCCCCCCCAACACCAGCCCCCCCCAACACCAGCCTCTCCCCCCCCCCAACACCAGCCTCTCCCCCCTCCCCAACACCAGCCTCTCCCCCCCCAACACCAGACCCCCCCAACACCAGCCTCTCCCCCCCCCAACACCAGACCCCCCCAACACCAGCCTCTCCCCCCCCAACACCAGACCCCCCAACACCAGCCTCTCCCCCCCACCCAACACCAGCCTCTCCCAACACCAGCCTCTCCCCCCCCCCCAACACCAGACCCCCCCAACACCAGCCTCTCCCCCCCCCTCCCAACACCAGCCTCTCCCAACACCAGCCTCTCCCCCCCCCCAACACCAGACCCCCCCAACACCAGCCTCTCCCCCCCCCTCCCAACACCAGCCTCTCCCCCCCCTCTCCAACACCAGCCTCTCCCCCCCTCTCCAACACCAGCCTCTCCCCCCTCCAACACCAGCCTCTCCCCCCCTCCAACACCAGCCTCTCCCCCCCTCCAACACCAGCCTCTCCCCCCCTCCCCAACACCAGCCTCTCCCCCCCCAACACCAGCCTCTCCCCCCCCCCCAACACCAGCCTTACCCCCTCCCCACCACCACCAGTCTCCCTCCCCAACACCAGCCTCTCCCCCCTCCCCAACATCAGCCTCTCCCCCTCCCCAACACCAGCCTTACCCCCTCCCCACCACCACCAGTCTCCCTCCCCAACACTAGCCTCTCCCCCCCCCTCCCCAACACCAGCCTTTCCCCCCTCTCCAACACCAGCCTCCCCACCACCAGCCTTTCCCAGCCTCCCCCTCCCCACCACCAGCCTCCACCCCCCCCCCCTCACGCAGAGGAAAGTTAGCTCCAGTTTGTGCGAGGAGACGTTTTAAAGGGGGGGGGGAGTGGTGTGTTGGAGGGGGGAACCACCGTGTGTTTAGCTGATGGTGGGCTTGTATTTGTGTATGTTCCTCTCCTCCCAAAGAAAACCCAATGTAACCCGTGCAAACCCTCCAGCCCTGAGTTACTCGGTCCCCCCTCGACAATAGAGCAATTCCCACCTGAAGCTCCATTATGATCGGGTTACAGTTCAATACAGAAACAGACACCTCTGTGGGTTGGTTGAGGCGTTTCGATTGGTGTCCCTGTGAGCTCGATAGTCGGTATATGTAATGTATTATTTACTATTTCGTGGCTCTTTCTACGATTGAGGTGATGGACAGAGATGACCTGTACCCCACAACACCCCCCCATCACCTCCTCTGCTGATGCTGGAGAGTCGGTCCGTGTCCAGGGACTGTTCTGCTGGGTGTTGCTAACATATTTGGTGCTGTTTGTGTGTCTGGTGCCAGCCCTGGCTTTCGCTGTGGGTTGCTGGTTTTTGACAGGAATGCTCGCTATGTCTGCCTGTGTGTGTGTGTGTGTATCAGCGCCACGGTTTGCAAAGCGTTTGCCTCAAGGAAGAAGCCGAGTCGCTGCTGGTTGGCTTCTCCTCTCGGCTGTTCCAATGCCGGACCCCGTCACTTTTCTCGCTCTCTTTTCCAACCGGGGACTGAACGGCACCGCAGGGCGAGGGTGTGCAGGACGGTCTCCAGACAGCAGTGACTTTTTGATTGAGGGTCTAACTTTCGTTCAGCAATTTCTGCAGGGCTTTGCACAGCACTCACTCAGATCCACCTCAACATTGAGTCACAGCTGCTCCACGCTGCTTTACACAGGTGTGTGTGTGCACCCCTGTACCCGACACGTCCTGGGGTTTGTTCAATTAATAAATGAATGTAATATGAGACAATTGTCACTCTTTCCTTGCACAAGGCAATTGTCACCAAGCCCACAGCGAATTCCTACACTGCCGGATCACACACTACGGCGTAACTGGCACAAAAGCCAGCGTCCATTTATCCAATATTTAGTGTTTTGCACCAGGACTGGGGTTTTTGGTTTGTAGATAAGAGGTGGTGGTGCTTCAGCTGCAAGATTTGTGTGTATTTTTTTAACCTATTGCAATCAAAACGAGGAGGGGGGGGAGAAGCAAAATCATCATGAAGTCAACGCCGTGCAGAATCATGCTGGCTAGTGCTTTTTTTTTTAACGCTCTTATTATTAACACCTTAGCCTTCATACAGAGAGGGTTTACATATACCATCCGCACGGATCTGACTTCAACTGTGGCTGTGTATTCAGAACATAGCATGGTGTTCTTGAGAGGACGCTCGTATTTATATTTAAAAAAACATGCGAATACTTTCAACGTCTCTCCATAATGTCCTTCCAAATCTTCCCCCCCCCCCTTCCCCAACTCTTAAGTATTAATTCCATGTGCGGAAACTTGCAAACACGGGATGTTGTGCGTTTCACCTTTGAAAGATAGGCGGCAGCAGCGAGTCTTGGAAACACATTCTCACGATGGATCAAAGAAAACAAAAGCTGAATCTCGGATTGCTCTTCCTACAGGAATTCAGATCTATCCATTTTTACTGACTTTGCTTGTCTTGACGACTGGTGCATTCATCTAACCTTAGTGGAAGGTGTGGGGCAGGTTGCTGTTGAATGCACTGTTTCATGTGAGGTTTAAGTGTGTGTTTTGCAAAAGGTAAAACCACATTTGGCTTTGGGGCAAGGAGTTCTTCGAAAATGCCAGACAGCAGGAATGTCACTTTATTTTCCCTGCACTATCCAGAGGTTTAGAGTTTCCCAGATCCTAAGGATTTCCTGTCCAGCACCAATAGGAACTTTCCAGGCTCATTTCCAGGCTCCTTTCCAATCCTAGAGTACACTGATGCTGAACAAGAAGAATTAAGCGCCTAAGATGCGAAAGTAAGAAATACAGCAGAGCTCAGGCCAAATAGTTCACACTTCCTGACATTTAAAAAGCATTTTGTTTTGTTCTATATTGTAATGTGTTTAATTTCAGCAGAAAAATTAATGCAATGCAGTTCAAAATTTCAGAAAAATTCCAGGGTGATCAACTTTATTTTTTGCACGTCTAATAATAACACATAAAGAATAAGGAGCAATGCCATATCATTTATGTTCTGGAGACTTGTGGTTGGCGGCAGTAGTGGGATCTAGTTCATATCTCACAGATCTCCATTGTGTACCAGATGTTTGATAAACAATTAAAACACTGGTAGTTTGAATATAATCATTTCAGAGTTGTTTTGAGTGGACTTGCAGATTGGACAGCGATTCTGATTTGCTCTGTGATGGGTCAACTGCCCTCACTGGCCAACATATGTGTTCCTTGGTTTAGGGGGAAAAACAGCCCAAGGTTCACATTCCAATGTTTTGAAATTCAACTTGTTTTCAGCCTTGAAACTAATCTTAAAATTTCCGATTGGGCGGAATTTCAGCAAATTCATCAATTCAGTTTTAATTTGGGTACCGCTTTTCTGTAGTTCGGTAATTTTAAGCTTAAAATGCGGCTAAACCCGGGTGGAATTGCGGGTCCCTGGACGCTATCCATTGACCTCTGCTGGAAAGTGTGAATATTAGTTGAGGCTAACATTTGCCCTGTGGTCATGTTGGCCATTGCCACTCTTGGTTAGACTTATTCAGGGGCACGGTCCTGGAGGGCTGCCAGCACCCATGAACCCATTCGCAATAAGAATCAGCCTCTTCATGAGAGGAAGGAAGAAATCAGAAAAAAAAAGTTACTGTGAATGAAAGTTGCCACAAAGTATTCTTTCAATAATCCAGCCCTTCTCCAAAAAATCCACAATTTAAAAAAAAATTGTAGCAGTGTTTTTTTCTAATCCAAACCAAAGAGCTTTGTATTCTATTAGGTGCTATTTACGCAGATCACAGAGCAACTGTAAGATATGTGAGCTGGCTGAAGGAAGGAAAATAATCATGCTCTTTGCCATGCTCTTTGTTAACTCAACAATATTTGGCAAAATCCTTATAGTTTGGTGTAGCGCCTTTCGCTTCGGAAGGTTGACCCAGAGCATTTCAGAGGAAATACTGTAAAGTTTGTTTTGTACTTTAAAGTGTGTTTTGTGGGCAAACACACCTGTTCAAAAATAAAATGACAGAACCTGACTGGTGTGAGTGCGCAATAACAGTATAAACTCAGTGTCCGCTCGCAGACATGTTCCACGTGCCTTCCTGCTCCTGAAGTCAAACAACGTTATCCAGCGTCACTTCTTCACCACTGAAATGATTTGACTCCAGGCCTCGGCACAGGTTGGAAAAGCCTTTGGATGATGATCATTTTTCAAAGGAATGTCATGTTTGCAACCTGGGTCTGTGGGATAAGTACTTCAAAGTGCTTCCCTCCACTCTTCCCTCCTCCGCTAATTGCTCCTCTGACATTCTCATTCAAGGGTCAACGATGTTCCCTGAACTTGGCGCTTGGGCAAAAAGTAAATTAAAGTCAAACTTTGGAATGTCATTAATAATCATGACTCGAGAGAGGAAGCGACATCCATAAGTGAATTTAGGAGCAGGGTTGTAAATTGGTGATTAAACTGGCGCCAAGATTTGTTTAATGCTTAAACATTGTTTACAACAACATACAAATTGAAGGAGGGAGAGAGCGAGAGAGGAGTGAGTCTGGATCATAGACATGCACTGAGAATATGTTTCTTTCAGATGAGAACTGGGAGGACGACCAACTTCTTGGACTTGAGCCCTGCAATGAAAACCTCATAACAGGATGCAACATAATCAATGGGAAATGTGAATGTGATTCGATTCGGACCTGTAATAACCCATTTGTATTTCCCAGTCGGGAAACCTGTCTGTCAGCGTTAAAGAGAATTGAAGGTAAGTAAATGCGATGCATCAATATTATTCTTTGAATTTAGATTGGATATGCTTTATCTGTTGTCTTATATCACACCAAGTATTAGCCACACAGAGGAGACAGTTGATTAATATGACATATAAACAGAAATGCTGGGAATCCATAGCAGGTCATTCAGGATCTGAAAAAGAAAGATAAGTTAATGTCTCAATGATAACCTTTCATCAGATTCCTTTGTCAGATTAATGGATGTAGCTCGTAAAGAATTGGTGAGATGATCTTGCAGAGAGCTGTAAAGATGGATGTCTCCCTTCAATCTATCCAACTATGCTCTCTGTTTAGAAGCTCATAGCTGAAGACTTTTGTCTCTTTCACTTGACAGCTTTTGTTCTGTCACAAAGATCTTGTTGCTTTGAAGTTGTTTTATGTAAATTTGCCATCTGACTGACATTTCTATATATTTTTTTAAAAAGTAGCTTTCATTGAAGTCATTTTTTTATTTGCATTGCGTGCATCAGATGCACCACTTTATCCAAGCATAATCTATTGTCTCCCAAGTAATGGCAGTGTCAACTTCAGAATAGACCTGTGTTTTATCCAAAATGTTGGAAAGCTTCCATTTTTTTGAGGGGGGAGTAAATAATTATTTACTTTACACCTCTCTGAAGTTTTTTTTTATCCTTTTGCTGTGTCTAAAGAAAAGTTTAAAAATTGTTGAAAATAGCAGTCTTAACCCAACAGTTTTCAACGCGTTTCGTCTGTGTCAGGGTAACTATGAGTCTTTGCCACTGAAATGCATCTGCCTTAGGAAACAGGGATCCCACTGCCAACCACAGTTTCCACAGCTTGTTCAGGGTGAGCACTACAGCCTTGATCATGTATGTTTCAGATAATGTTTAATTAAATATTTGTCATGCTGGTGTTTTCATTGGGTTGATGCAAGACCCCATCCCAAGTAGCAAGGATCATTTTAGAGATTTGAAACCTTCTCTAAGATAAGGCACAGCAGTAACAAAAGCTTATTGCTAATATTTCCCAACTTGCCTAATGAAGGGGATCCTAAACTTTTGGAACAGTTAGCAAATATTGTATTGGTGGTTAGTAAAAGTTTGGTTTGCAGGACTCTGCACACCAAAAGTGCTGTATGCATGGAGGCTGCCAACCAGTGGCATTGTTTGCTTGGGTAGAACAACTTATATTTATATAGCACCTTTTCTAAAAACGTTACACAGAATGAGATTAATAAGAATTACATGAAAAAGAAGGGAATAGAGTGGTGTGGTGGGAGGCTGGAGAGGGTATATAAGGATAGATGAAAGCTCATGAACAGCAGCATAGACTAGTTGGGCTAATGGTCTTTTTGGCGCTGTTGCTGCTTTGCACAGACACGACGAGCCACAATAACCTCCCCTCCCGTGATAAAAAAAACCCTCTGGGTTGCTGTATGTTAAGAAGGCCCAATCTACACGGCCTTTCAGATTGGCAGTAATGGGAAAAATTCCCGCAGAAAGAGCAGCTTTGTTGTTATTACCTTTTGTTTATTATGGTTTGTTTTGTTTATTTTTGTTCTGGGTTGTTTCATTCTGAAACTGTTACTGTACTTCCTTTTTTTGGGTGGAATTGCTATTTAATTGATGAAAAAGACTACTATGCCAACAATGATTAGTTTGTGACACTTCAGTGTTTACAGATGTATGTGCATAAATGTATTTTATTTTCCCTCTTAACAAAAAACAGTCAGGAAATCCTTGTTGATTACATGGGTGTGAACTAGTAGTGATGTTGTCTGAGGAAGATATTAAAGCAGATGTACGCATCAAATATCCTTATAATTGCATTTAAGGCATGTCACTGTTTTGGTCTCAATCTGCTGGAAACAAACACTTGGAAACTTTGTTTGGGTTTGTGTTCATGACTATCTGCAGGTGCCATCAGATAGCTGCATAGCACAGTCTCGTTTCACTGTTGATAAGGCAACACTCAAAACAGTTGCATTTTCTCACTTTGCAAAACAGCGGGGAGGGAAAGGAGGGGCGTCTGGCAAATCTCTGGAAAATGGTGAAAATTATGATTAAAAAAAACAACTTATTCCCAGTCTTTTCCTCTTCCCTCAACCCACTCCCCCCACACCACCACACAGATACCACATACATAGGATGAATGTAATTTTTTGAATTGTTTGGTAATCAAAGTGAGGAATGCAGTGCAAAGGAAGGGAACATTTTCCACCCAGTGTCTGGATTGAAGACTTTCAGATCGAGAAGCGTAGCGCAGGTTAGATATAGAGTAACAATCACTTTTCTCCTCTCAACAGTATACACCATAATCCCTTCCGTAGAGAACTCCCACTACACCAGCTTCCCATTCCCCACGACAAACTTCCCTGTGAAACTTGTGTCAGCAGACACCAGATTGCAGGCAGCTCTGTCACATGAATGTTAATTCACCCAGATTTGGGATGTGACTGGCCAAATTCGGTGCATTTCAGAGTTATTTTACAATGCGAGAGTAGGCTTGCATTCCACAACAGTGAGGGCTGGATTGGAAGTTGGGTCAGTGAGATGAAAGAAGAGGCTACTAAGCCACTATGCCAGCCAGTTTTTCCCTCTCATGCTTTTCTATTAGTTGCAGATTGCAACAGTTGGAAGCCTCCTGCTCTGGAAATAATGTTCTCTGCTAATACACTGAAAGCTTGTGTTGGACTATATTTTCGCTACTTGGCAGAATGGATTTGCCAAACAAACTTGGCCTGATAAAATGTTAATCGATCCAAGAGATATACATTTGAAGTGTGGGAAAGCACGCACATGCCTGCTGTGAGCGGCACTCACTCTGCTATCACCATCCAACACCTGTACCGATGATTTTCTTTTTTAATATGTGATTCTTTAAATATGCCATAGGCTCCCCACACTGGCGAATGGTTTGGATATGCAGGGCGAGCGTGCGTGCTGGTTAACATAGGGCAGGGATATTATGATTAATGTCGCTGATAGTAAATTTAAATAGGAGAGCTGATTGGACTTGGAGAATAAAATAACGTTTTCAGTTGGCTGGATAATTATTATGGCAGTCGCTGGGTGCAAATACACAAGTAATTGGGTTATCTGAAAGATTAGCTAAACTTGAAGGAATTATATCTGGAAGATGCCTTAAATTTCTGTATGCAATGTGAACTATCCTGCATTTCAATGCAGATGCATTGCCCCCCATCCCCAGTTTACAGTCTCCCCCTCATTGCTCAGCAAGTGTACCCATTGAGCAGTAAGTTTCCAGGCCTGATGTCGGGTCTGTATTGAGTTAGCTGATCTCAACAAGACAGCAGTTGTGGGAACCAGAATTCAATATCAGTGACTCTAGGTTAGAGCAAGGAAAATCTAGGCAGTGATCGGTATCCACCTTAGCAGGTGCACGTGTGTGAGGACAGGATTGGGCTCAGCTGAACAATCCCTACACTGGTACTTATGGACCATCAGAAGGAAAAAAATCCTTCAAAGAGAAAGAGAGAGAACTTGCATTTTTACAGTAGCTAACCCTGTCTCAAAGCACTTCACAAATAATTAGTGCCAAGTGTAAGGAGTGGTTTCTTAGGCAAGCCCAGGAGGCATGGTTTTTAACAAGGTTGAAGTAAAAGGAGGTGCCATTGAAACCTAGTGGCAGGACACCATAACTGCACCAATTGTTTTTCATCTCTTCCGCCACCCACCCTCCCACCTTTCTGTAATCTAAGTATTGGATTTGTGAAGCCTGGACATGGATAAGACTTTCATGTCCATTTCTTTGAGTTCCTGAACATGAAAAATAACAGCGTTAGTCATGGTTTGTGTTTACGAGATTAGAGATTCCATATTAAATGTGGAAATGACTCCTAACAACTAATAGTGAAACCCCAGGGTGCAATGGAAAATGTTGTAAAAATGTCCACGTTTCCTTTCATTGGCCTTAGTAGAATAATGCTTAAATGTTCATTAACAATCATCATTACTAATTTGAAAAGAATCGGAAGCATCTAAACTTCAATCCTACCTAATATAAACATATTTTATCATGGGTGATCAGGCATTTCTGAGTGTTGTTTCTGGGTGCTGTGGGCTGTGGCCTGGGTTGTGGGGTGCTGGCTGCATTCTGGTTTGAATGCCTCCATTTGTGGTTAATGGTCGCGTATTACTAAATAGCCCATTGGCAGGTTTATCACTTAAGCCCTTAATGTAAATATTTCATTGGATTTAGCTGCTTATTCACTGAATATATCAGGTAAGGAAAAACAAATGGGGCTAATGTTCATTTTACCTAATGGGGTGTTAAGATGTTCATTTCTTGAGTCATTAAGGCCGACACCATTTTAGTGGTGACTTATCCTAAATGAAAGCAGATTAGATGGGAGAGCATGCATGTGGACATTGAGCCCATAGATCAGTATCTGGATGATAAGAGCCTCTACTTGTGGGGGCATACATTTCTCAGTTCAACTCATTCTATTTGCATGACCTAACAACTCTTAATCTGTTCAATGGATTAAATCGTAGAGTCCTGTAGCTCAGTGGTTAGAGCACTCGCTTTGCAAGCGAGAGACCTGAGTTCAATTCCAGGCAGGGCAAAACCTTGGGCAAGTTTCCTTACTCCACACAGAGCCTAATAATAATCCCTCCAAAACCAAAACAATAATAAATTGGTCATTTTCTATCTACGACTGTTTGTGGGACATTGCTGTGCGCAATTGGCTGCCGCGTTCGCCCACAAACATACAGTCAATTCACTTTACAGTGTGTTCTGTGAAGCGCTTTGGGACGTTCTCCCGACATGAAAAGCGCTATATCAAATGTAAGGATTATTATAAATCCTTCAAAACGATTTTAAAAAAAGTTGGTTGTGCGCTTATCAGATGAGGATGCTCGCCCACAATTGTTTACATTAGAGGTAAGCCAGGACCAGGTCTATTATTAACAGGCTGATAACTCGGTGCTGTGACCTGGAAGCAGTTGTGGATGTGGGTCCATAAATGGAACAGAAAGAGTTGGGG